AGGAGGGACCAGTCCTTGAAGAGGGACATCATGCTTGGTAGGGTGGAGGAACAGCGCAGGAGGAGAAGGCCCTCTATGAGGTGGATTGATTCAATGATTGGGGTAATTGGGATGGGTGTATGGAAGACAGTGCAATTGGCACAGGACAGAGCAGAGTTTAGGGCTCTTGTACATAGGGCCGCTATGAGTTACAAGTGACTTGATGGCACATAACAACAACAACATCTGCATCATTGCACTACCTAAGCCATTCTTTCTAGTGATTCATATAACTTGTGTAAAATCATTGTCAAGCAATTAAAAAAATACATATATTTTTAGCAAACAATCTTGAAGGAGTGTTTTCAGATATTTTACATTTCTTTGTAAAATGCTTATCATTTTTTCATATTCATTATTTAATTTATATTTTAAAATTCACCTCTGTCTTAAACAGTCAAAATATCTCTCCATCTGCTGAAGATGAAAAGTAATAGTTGTGAGTTTTTTTGTTTTGTTTTTAAGGCTTGCTGGGCACAGGTGCCATCTCATTCATTGCTGCCTCTCCATCCCAGCACTGTGCCAGAAAAAAAATGAAGACAATCACTTGACAAGATAGGACTAAGACCCTGTCCTTAAGGAGTTTAAAATAATTTGAGGCTAATGATATTTTGGGTTATGTGTTCAACTGCTAGCCAAAAGGTTGGTAGTTTGAATATACTAGTCACTTTGCAAGAGAAGGATGAAGTACTCTGTTTTCATAAAGACTTACAGCCTTGTAACTACAACAGAGCAATTTTACTCTCATAAAGTCGGTATGTATCATAATCTACTTGGCAGAAATGTTTTGTTTTGTTTAAAGGCATATACAAAGGGAACATTTTATGACAATACCGAAGAGCAGACATTAAAAGTACTATAGAATATCAAAAGGTGTTAAGTACATAGTGACCCTATTAACAGTAGATAGAAACCTTGCCATGCTTTTACAGTCCTAATCTCCAGCATGCTGAAGTCCATTGTTAAAGTCAGAGCAGCAAATAACAAATGCTGACAAGGTTGTAGAGAAACTGGAACCATTAACTCACTGTTGGTGGGAGTGAAAAAATGGTGAAACCACTATGGAAAGCAGTATAGCGCTTTCTCAAAAAGTAGCAAATAGAAATGCCATCAGACCTAGCAATTCCACTACTAGAAATATACCATAAATAAACCAGAACTGCCATCCAAGCATTTATATGCACACCCATGTTTATTGCTGCTTTGTTCACAATAGTAAAGAGTTGGGAACAACCCAAGTGCCCATCAACAAATTAATGGATAGAGAAACTGTGGTATATTCACACAATGGAATATTATGCAGCGCTGTAAAACAAATAACTCATGAAATATACAAAATGGTTGACCATGGAGGGTATTATGCTGAGTGAAATAGCTCAGTCACAAAAAGACAAATACTGCATACTGCATAATGCCACTGTTATAAAACAGGACTGACATGGAGTTTGGGGGGGAATAAGAGGGGAATAAATAATGTACATGACATTTAAACAAATGAGGGAGATAACTGTATAAAATGACTATATGATTAGGTATTATTGGCATGACTAGAGTCCAGAATAAGAGCTGCCTAGGAAAGTGGACAGGAGAGGAGGATTATATAAAAATGAAAGAATGGATTTTTTTTTTGTTTGTTTGTTTGTTTGCTTATTTTTTTCCCAAAGGAAAAAGTGAGCTAGGGGGAAGGGAAGGCAGGGAGGAAAATGTGCAACAATGAATAATGGAAATCCAAGTTCTCTATCAACTCTCATTAAAATCTCAATTGGAAAAAAAAAAGTTGAAAGTTTAGGGCCAAAGTTTACTATATTGGCTCTGAGCTATGAGACCTGGAGAGGTAGAGCACAGGAAGATGGACAGTTTGCCATTGAATATAGGTGATAAGTGCACGAAGTGATTTTATGTAATCTATGTTATTAAATCATACATGTAATGAATGTTGAAATTGCAAATGTGTCATATATACTTTTATGACATTATAATAATTTTTAAATAAAATTTTTACAGTGGTTTTCTAAAAAAAAAAAATCACTGTGTCAATAATCTCACTGAAATTTTCCTCTCTTTAATTTCACACAGTTGTCAAGATATGCCCCTGGGACCAGCAGGGTAAAGGTTTTACTTTTTCTATGGGGAGGAGGGAGAAGGTAAATGATTCACTAGTAGTTTGCCCTGTTATAGATAGTGTAGGTTGTTCAACCTGCCCAGTAACAGGGGTATGATGTTTGTATTCCAGCTCTACAATAAGAAAATCAAGCTTCAACTTGCTTCTTGCCCAAGATCACTGAATGTGTCAAGTGTGATTCAATTACCTAGCTCCAAGGACCAAAGCTTTCAATGTGTGTACAGCAGAACTGACAGATCATGGAAATCCAGGCATAGAGAACAAGATAAACAAAATCAAGAAACAGGAATCAGGTGAAGTAAAGAAGTAAAATGTAAGACTTTTGACATGAGCAAGAGAATCTGTTTGGAACCATATTTTTTTATTATTATTAAATTTTATTAGTTTTAATGAACATTTACAGAGATTTTGGGTTTTCATTCATTCGTTGTTGCACTGTTTCCTCCACCCTCCTCCCCAGTTCGTTCTTCTAACTAAGGTAGTTAATGAAATCAATGCTGATATGAAATTCAAACTAATGCTGATTCTTGTGTACAATGTGACACTTTTTTCCTCTTTAAACACATTTACAATGACTATCTTCACATTTACTGAATTTTTAAATATATATAGTCTACATTTGCTAATATAACTTTTTGAAAATATTGTCACTCAGAAAACACTGCATCAAAATTTCTAAGGATGAGACAGGTTGGGAGATATATTTGCTAGATTTTTTTTAATTTTTATTGTTCAAAGTTTGCAAAGTATATCAGTTGGTTAATTATTCTAAGAAGTGAATGTATTTCTGATGCTATTGGTCATTTTATAACCTTGTCTGTTCTTTGGCCAAATGGATAGCATTTGGTTCCAGGCTCCAGTAGTGTGTAAGAGCCATAGTCCTGGAGATTCCACCAGCCTCTATCAGACCAGTAAGCCTGTGCTCTCATTTTGTTGAGCTTTGCTCCACACTTGATGCTGCTTTATCTAGGATCTTCTACTGTGGTCCCTTTTAGAGTAGAGAGCAACGGTAGCCAGAAGCCATCAGTTCTTTGGGTGACAATATTGTAGAAGTTGAAATTAGTTGTTCATTAGTCTTTTGAAATAATTGTTTTGGTATCTATTTGCTTTACTTCACTCTTCTTTGTTACTTTTGTATATTTTAAGGATGATATTACTTAAGATACACTCACACTTTTACCATTGATAGGCAAATATTTTATTCTTCATGAAAAATTGATGCTTCCATAAATAGTAGATCATGATTCAAGTGGTCAAGGAATTGTTGTCAGAAGGCAGGGAGGATTTGGGATTTTTACCTGTGACTTGGGATTATTAAAAATGGAGGATGCAAAATGGGAGGGAGACAGGGTAAAGCAACAGAAAGCTAGCCTGAATTAGAAGACAATCACAAAGTACGGAGCCTTTTTAAAGGTAATTCTTACAGTATATCTCTTGGAATATGTTGAACTTTGAATCTTCAGTAAGAGAAGAATGCTGAATTTGCTCTATACCAAAGCCACTGAGGGATAGATATATGAATAGTCTTGAAGCTGATGTATCACTTGGCCACAGGCTGAGGTACAAGTAAAATTGGAGAAAAGTTTTCGTTGTTAAGTCCACTACAGTCCCACTGAAATATTAGTAAAGATAGTCACAAGTAAACATTAAAATACTAGAAAATAGGTACAATTAAGATAGCAAAACCAGAAAATTAGACATTAAAGGATTTACAAATGTAGAAATATTCAGATAAAGAATACAGTTGATCTAGATAAGAAATCACAAATAAATCCCCCAAAAGATGATTCAGTAGTATAAAACAATCATTTTTAGGCAAGTAGATTTAATTGAAAACAAACTTCTGAAGATGTAGACCATAATTATTTAAATAAAAACTCAAAGGTTCAGTTAAATATACACAGTTAATGAGAAAATAGAACAAAAATAGAAATAACATACAGGAGGAAACAATAGATATGGTGATTGAAAATAACAGGAAATTAAGAAATATGGAGATTAGAATGAGAGCATCTAGCATGTTTTATGTGTTTGCTATTAAAACATATAACAAACTTGCTGATAATTATTTTTTTTAATCTCATGATTGTGTTGGTTAGGAACCTGACATGGGACTTAATTCACTAAAATCAGGAGTTGTGGTTTTTATTAGAAGATTTCAAAAATAATTCGGTTTCAGCTTTTTTCAGGCTAATTGGCTGAATCCAGTGTATTGGTTCTATGAGATCTATTTCTACCATGTTTTCTGGCTGTAAAGTAAGAAATGTTCTTCATTCCTTGTGGTTTCTCTCTGGTCTTCACACATGTTAGTCTCTGAAATAGTGTGTGAAGTCCATTTCATATTTAAATTATCTTTGATTTGTAAGTCTGCAACAACTTTTCTGCTTCCAGACAGAAAAGATAATCTACTCTTAAGATCTCATGAGTTTAAATCAGTCCCATTCAGATAATCCTGAATTATCTCCCTGTATTATGAATAGGTAGTATTGCATTTATAGTTGTACCACCAAGAAGTGAAGGTTATAGGGACCAAATTTCTACCTATCAGTTCTCAACTGGGGAGAACAGAAAGAGTGATGGAGAAGCTACAGTTAAAGTTTTTAAGAATTAAATATTAATCCAGAATATCAGATTTCTAAAATATACAGATCCACAATTTGAATAATCTCAACTTATTAAGATGATAAATACAAAAAGAGAGATGGTTTTAAATGTAAAGAATAACAATAAATAAAAATGCCATTGCAATCAATGACTGGAATGTAATTTATCATCATCTCTGATATCTGTTCTCGTCAATCTATTGATTTGCTAATATTGCTACAGGTACTTACTAATCTTAATGGCCTGGAAAGAGGTAAAACTTTTTAGGCATTGATAATCTTTCAATGGTGGGCATCTGAACTTTAACACCTGGTTCTTGAAAACACTGTTGAACCTAAAAATAAAAAGATAATTTTTGACTCTTTTGTAGAAACAGAAAAAAGAAACCCACCTATTGGACCAAAAAAATGATTGGCAATAAATATAGAATAACATTATAATGTTTGCAATTAAAGATAGTTCAGAGTTGTGAAGGAAGAAAATCCAAGACCAGTCTAAAAGTTACCAAATTCTTCATTATTATGAAAAACCTCATGGACAAGTATAAATCTGCACTCTATATAGAAGAGGTTGAGCTTCTGCTTTAGATAAATTCCAGGTGACCATGAGACCTTATTAACATCAATTATTCAGTTAACGTTGTTTCTAATTCCCAGACTTAAAAAAAAATTGAAGTACAATTAATAAACAATAAAATACCATATTTACCTTTAAATGAAAAATGTTTTGACATATATTTACTGGTAAGCCAAAGCCATCATCATAATTACTCGAGTAAATATATCCATTGCATTCACAAGTTCCTTTAACCTTGTATAATCTCTTCTAAAAGAATCCCTCCCCAATTTTCAGAAAAAAATAAAAATAGATTAAATTTTCTATAAATAAAATAAAATGTAGTAACTATAATTTTTGTCTCACTACTTACTTTCACTTAACATAAATATTTTAAGATTCATCTATGATGTTATATGTATCAAGTTCTACTTACTGCTGAGTATTTTTTATTTGTATGACTCTTCTAGAAATCATTTTTTTACATTTTCAACTGATAATTCAACTGTTTGGAGCTATTGAAAATCTGGTTGTTAATTAGTATTAACTTTTGAATACTGTTTGGAATGTGGTAGAAATTTACAAAAATATTTTTAAAATGATTGTACTATTTTTTATTTCTACTTGTGGGTTTTGAATTCCAGTCCTTCCATATATATGCCAATACTTGATATTGTTAGTCTTTTAAAAATTTTTCATTCTCGAAAATATTCTGTCATATTGTATGATAATTTCCATATTCTGTCAGGTCACCTTTTTCTGGAGTGGGAATAAATATGGATCTCTTCCATTGAGTTGGCCAGATAGTTGTCCTCCAGATTTCTGGGCACAACTTGGTGAGGACATGCAGGGCAATGTCTGTTTGTTGAAATATGCCATGCAGATGGCATGTTTTATACAGATGATACAACCTTGCTTGGTGAAACTGAGGAGACCCTGAAGCACTTCTTGGAGAAAATCAAGGACTGTGGTCTTCAATATGAATTAAAGCTCAACATCAAAAAGACAATGATCTCACCACTGGGCCAATGGGCAGCACCACAAACAGATGGAGAAGAGATTGAGGTTGTTAACAGTTACAGCTTGCTTGGCTCCACAATAAAATACTCGTAACACCAGCAGTCAGGAAATCAAAAGACAAATTACATTAGGTCAATCTACTGTCAGGGACCTTTCTAGAGTGCCGAGGAGCAGTGATGTCAGTCTACAGACTAAGGTGCACCTAATCTAGGCTGTGGTCTTTGAGATTACTTGCTATGCAGCACCTGCTTTGCATCAGAGAGCTGGACAATGACTAAGAATGATGGAAGAATTGATGACTTTGAGTTGTGGTGCTGGAGAAGAGTCTTGAACATACCATGGACTGCCAAGAAAACAAATAGGTCTGTATTGAAGAGGGTGAAACCAAGTTTCTCTTTGGAGACTGGGATTTTGAAGCTCTGTTCCACATACTTTGGGCATGTAGCCAAGAGGGACTGATCCTTGGAGAAGGACATCATGCTCAGAAAGGTGGAGGAACAGCATAGGAAAGAAAGGCCCCAAATGAAATGGATTGACACAGTAACTAGGGCAATGAGGGTAAGTGTGTTGGAGTCAGTGAGACTGGCTCAGGACAGGGAAGGCTTCAGAGCTGTTGTACATACCTAGGGTGCCTATGAGTCACAGGTGACTCGACAGCACATAACAACAACAGTAACAAAATAATTCATCTAGAAAGAAAATTGAAAGGGAGCCTTATCATGATGGACCTATTTATCTTCTTAATTTTACTCACTGCTGTCAGGTTGAATCAACTCGGTTAACTCTCTAGTGGGTTTTTGGAGGCTATAAGTCACAGGGGAGAAGACTGCTCATTTTTTTTTCATTTGGAAGAGAGTTTTGGTGGATTTGAACCACCTTGAGGATAACAGCACAGCTGAGTAATGAAACATTGTAATAAATTACCCATTTAATCAATAGTAATTAATGTTAGAAAGCAAAAAAGGCTACAATTAACTATGAAAAATTACTATTATTAACTTTGACAGCATTATTTATAAACTGACTCAAAAATAATAATAAACTAAGTAAAAAAATAAGGATAGCAGAAGAAGAATTGATGGCTTTGAGCTGTGGTGTTGGAGAAGAGTACTGAACATCCATGGACAAGCAAGAGAACAAACAAATAGATCTTAGAGAAAGTGCAGAAGCCAGAGTGCACCTTGGAGGTAAAGGTAATAGAGCTTTGTTTCATATACATCAGAAATATTGCAAAAAGAGGCTATTCATCAGAGTGACATGTTTGGAAAGATGGAAGATCAGTAGAAGGGAGAAAGACCCTCATTCAGGTGGATTGACAAAGTGACTACTGTGATAGGCTTGAATGTGTCAGAAAGCGTGAGGATGGCACAGGATAGGACAGAGTTCAGATCTGTTGTTCAAAATGTCCTTATAGGTCCTGCTCAACTTGAAGGCACTTAACAACAGGAAGGAAAAAAATAGATAAGTTAGATGAAGGAAAGACCTTAAATGATAAGGAGTTGATTTGACATTGTAATCAATTCCATCCATCAATAATACTGTTAACTACACTGCTATAAATAAAAATGTGTGAATAAAAATCCCATATGAGTTGTAAACTGTCAAATAAAAAAAGTAATAGAATTTGTGTAGAATGTTGTTGTTGTTGTTGTTGTAGTAATGTGCTGTTGAGTCACTTGCAACTCATAGCGACCCTATGTACAATATCCCTGAAATCTGCTCTTGCCTGTGCCAACTTGTCTCTAACATCTACCCTCATTATCCCAGTCACTGATGGTCTTCCTTTCGTTATGTCCCTTCACACTTCCAAGAATGATGTGCCTTTCCAAGAACCGGTCCCTCCTTGCAACATGCCCAAAGTATGTCAAAGACTCAGAATCTTTGTCTCCAAGGAGCAGCCTGATTTCACCCTCTGTAGGACGAACCTGTTTGTTCTGGCAGTCCATAGTTGTTGTTGTTGTTGTTGTTATGTGCCATCGAGTCATTTGTGACTCATAGTGACCCTGTGTACAAGAGCCCTAAACATCGTTCTATCCTGTGCCAACCTCGCTGTCTCAAACACATTCATTCCCACCACTCCACTCACAGAATCGATCCATCTCATCGAAGGTCCTCGCCACCCCTCCACTCTCCCAAACATGACGTCCCTTTCCAGGGACCAGTACCTCCTTGCAACATGCCCGAAGTATGTCAGAGGAAGCTTCAGAATCCTTGACTCCAAGGAGCATTCCCCCTTCACCTTCTCCAAGATAAACCTGTTCGTTCTCCTAGCAGTCCATGGTATATTCAACACTCTTCTCCAGTACCACAGCTCAAAGGCATCAATTCTCTTTCTATCATCCCTATTCACTGTCCAACTCTCCAATGCAAGCACACAAGTGAAAAGATTATAGTCTGGATCAGGTGCACCTTTGCCTCCAGACTGAAGTTTCTCTTCAGTAATCTGGAGAGGTCCCTGACAGCCAACTTTCTTTTTTCTTTTTTTCCATTTACGTTTTTTTAAATGAGATTTTAATGAAAATTTAGAAAGCATCTTTCATTGTATGTTTTCCTCCCTCCCCATTCCCCCAGGTTGCTTTTTACTTGGGGAAAAAACTTCTTTCATTGTTATACTGGATCCCCCTTGCACATCACTTTACTATGCAGCTCTTATTCTGGACTCTTGTCATGCCAATAATATCTAATTATATATTGCTTTTATGCAGTTCTCTCCCTTGTCTGTTTCGATGTCATGGATATTATTTATCCCCTCTCTTCTTAGTTTCTCCCCAACCTACATGTCAATTCTGTTTTATAGCAATCACATTTTGTTGTATTTGTCTTTTTGTGACTGAGAAATTTTCACAATGCAATTCATCTCTTGATTTACTGGCTGCTACCAAGAGTTTTGATTGTGGAGCCAAGAAAACTAAAGCTGTTAACAATATCAATCTCTTCATCGTCTATCATAATGCTGCCAATCAGCATAGTGGGAAGAATCTTTGTTTTTTTGATGTTGAGCTCAATCGATATTAAAGACTGCAGTCCTTGACCTTCTGCAGCAAGTGCTTCAGGTCTTCCTCAGTTTCAGCAAGTAAGGTTGTGTTATCTGCATAAAACATACTGTTGATGAGTCTTTGTTCGATTCTGATGCCACATTTCTCATACAGCTCAGCTTCCTGGATGTTCTGTTCTGCATACAGACTGAAAAGGTATGGAGACAGGATATATCCCTGCATACACCCTTCCTGATTTTGAAGCATGCAGTGTCTCCTTCCTCTGTTTTAATGACTGTCTCCTGGTCCAAGTATGTTGTTGTTGTTATGCGCTGCTGAGTCACTTGCAATTCATAGTAATTCTATGTACAACAGCCCTAAATCCTGCTTTATCCCGTGCCAATCATATTGTCTCTAACACACCTACCGCCGTTACCCCAGTCACTGAATCAGTCCATCTCATCGAGGGTCTTCCTCTTCTGCACTGTCCCTTCACCCTCCCAAGCTTGACGTCCCTCTCCAAGGTTTGATCCTGCCTGGCAATGTGTCCAAAGTGTGTCAGATGAAGCTTCAGAATCCTTGCCATCAAGGAGCAGCATGGCTTCACCCTCTCCAAGATAAACTTGTCTGTTCTCCTAGCAGGGCATGGTATATTCAATACTCTTCTCCAGCACCACAGCTCAAAGGCATTAATTCTCCTTCTAACATCCCTAGTCATTGTCCAGCTTTCCAATGCATAGCAAGTAATTTCAAAGACAATGGCCTCTATCAGGTGCATTTTAGT